ATTAGGTGGCTGGACATTTCCACTTGATCATGCGGAAGTATGGCAGCTTCAGTATTATTCATCAGGAAGACAGTTTTTTCAGGTAGTTTACTGCTTTCTTACTGTAGTAAGGTATGGATGTTTGTGACAGAGGTTCTCATAAAACAGATTTTTATGTCCACGACAACATATTTACTGTAGTTGATCTGGAAATACAAAAATATTCTTCTAAATGTAAAATAACTAGACAGAGGCACCCTGAACAATAGATGACATTTTCAGCAGACACTAGTGTACCAGTATCTGAACCCCATGGAGTTTTATAAAAGCAGAACTAAGCTCTAGGACTTCTAAAAGAAGTTGTAAGTATTTATAAACATGTATATGCACACACACATATATAAATAAAAATTGAAAGCAGTTTTGTCCAATAAACCTGAGGCAAGACAGATGATGGTACAAGCAAATGAATTATTAAAAAATGGTCGAAATGGACATCCAACAGCTTTTTAGATGGAACCTGTACCTCCACTGTATTTTAAAGGTCAACATGCACTCCTTGCGCTCATATCCAAGCTGACTGGGAGGCATGAAGCTGCATTACATGGGCAGTAGCCATCTGAAGTTCACATGACGGTCCTCTCAGCAGGGCTTACCACACTGAGTTCAGAGTCTGATGGCAGTTTGAGATAATTTGTGCCTGACTCCCTTGGAGTTGAGGACTATTTTAATTCTATCCCTGAAGTAAGTCCTCTGCTTATCTGTAACCAAACTATAAACCTATATATGTTTATATACATATAGAGCAGTTATTGTTATACACAATAATAGACTTCTGTGTTTGGTACATTTGAAACTACAGTCCTTTAACTCCTTGCCAGGAAATTTTTATGTTACCTACTTTCTAACAGTATCAAAGCAACACTTAGAATTACAGTAGCAATTTATAGCGTACAAAGGTCTAAACTTTCCACTGACCTCCTTGGGCAAGTAATAGGATCTTACTCATTTTGGTCACCTATGGAGAAAATGTACTGTTCCAATCAATAGAAGTGAATGAGCCCTACAGGGCCAGTTCTCCATCACTGTAAATTGCGATGGAAACAGATACAGAGCCATTTACACAAGTGAAATAGCAGATACCCAGTCATCACCCATGTACCAGCTACTCAGAAGACCAACCAGTCAGTTCTCTTGCTGAGCAACCAGAAATCGTACACATAACTAGGATGATGCCTTAAAAAGTTTTGGTTTATATTCCAAAAGAAATTTTCAGGATTTAGCAAATCCCATCATTGTGACTCCAAAGAACTGATTTCACCCTCCAGAGACCTACTTTTTCATACATGTTTCAATACCTTCTGAGATCATAAGCTGCCAGACAGCAGCCACAACAAAGAACATGAATTACAGAGAAAGACTGGTGCATTTTGAAGTAATAACATAAGGCATAAAAAAAATAACATAGTAACTGCATGAAAACTTCAGGAGAACCATGGAAAAGAGAAAGAGTTTGTATTAAACAGATTTCTATAAACTGCTACAGCTAAAAAGAACAGTCACAGGAAAAGCTTCAAGGTATCAGGTATGAAATGGCCAAGCCACCAGGCCTATATTAGTTCATTAAAACACCCAGGTATAAACAATAGTACATAAAAATGCAGAAAGAGCATCAGAAATTTGCAACATCATTGTGCATTACTGACCCATGTGTCAAGTTTTGAGTTTTGTATTCATAAAACATCGCCAAGCAAAGACCAGACAGCAAGTTGGTTCACTTGGACAGTTCTCCACCAACAGAAAGTCCCTTTCAAAGGGCTGACACAGGGCACTCCAGTAGTAGATTAGCTATTGTTTTGACATCACGTATATTTGAAAGATATCTAGACAGAAGAAATGCTAGTGAGAGAGAAAAAAGCTTTATCCAACAGCCCAAATACCACTAATTTCTTTTAACCAAACCACTGCATTTTCTAAAGGAATTTTAAGAGTTTGCATGCCATTCTTCCACATGAGCTGAGCCTGCTTCCCACCAGCTCATAATTGAGGCTTATTTTCCTGGTAAGAAGCAGCAAGTTACAACTGTGTAACGACACCCACACTGAACAGCTATGCGGTGGGCCTGAGGAAGTGCACGTACTGTGCATTGTGCAAAGCTGTGCCATCAGATGCCCAGAACTGCACGTAGATACACATTCCTCCATTTTTTGCACCATTTCTCTGAAACTTCATAAAGCTTTAAATGACTAACGCTGTGTGAACCAGGACAGTGGCTGAGGATGAACACATAAGGATTACCAGCAGGGACAAACATTCAGAGAAAGTGTTTCTCTCTGACCTCTGTTGGAAAGCAGGGCAAAAAACTATGAGTGAATACTGTGCCACCCCTGAGTGAGACAGCAGCCAAAAGCTCTAAGGACCTACCTCTCCTGAAACCTAAACAGAGCTGGGTTCCGGGTTCGAAGATAGGCTGTGTGAAATCATCTTGAAACCGTAAGTTCATCATTGGACCAGGACCAGCACTTTCCTGTTTACTATGAAAGTCTACTGCAGTGTCTACAGTCATCTATCTGTCTAGATGGAGCATGGTGGCAGAACTCTTTTAAGAGAAGCAAAGCTTAACAAAAAGTATAAGTTTTGCACAGAAGCAATTCCACACAGTACAAGCAGAGGCGGTTTTCAGGTTCTTCTCAGTTTAGGTGGAAGCAGTGATTACAGAAAGCTTGGAGTACAGATGAAGACAGACTGAAACCTTTACAGCAAAATAGGAAGATATATACAAGCCAGAACAGCTCCAAAATATTCCTGGATTTTAGGTTTACTCATTACTGCTTCCCCTAGTCTTATTCTAGGATGGAACAAGCCAAGAGCATATTAAAAGGCTGCATTCTCCTCAGAATATCTAAAGTCATATTCTACTTTGTATTAACAAAGGTTTTAATCTTTTCAGGTCTAAAAGCCTGTTTACAGTGAAAGTGACCAATCCTCCAACATGATGCAACATTTGATTTTCCAATGGAAGCTGGCACTTTGGTGCCTCAGAATTATTAGTCAGAACTAACCCATCACCCTGTATTGCAAGTTAATGTTATGTTAACCTCCTTTAAATTAAAAAAAAAATCCCACTCAAACATCAATTAAAGTCTTGATGTCTGCATCTAACCTGTTTATTTCACAGGGAAGAATTTCACTCTGCTGTGTGTGGAGTCAACACCAAGAACTCTCCCTTTTTAACTCAGCAAAAACTTTGAGAGTTAACACTGCTCACTGCCCTCAGCAAAAGGCTTTAAAGGTTTCTCATAGCAAATCCACGACCAACACTAGCTTTTATCCCACTGATGAGTAGGGTTGAGTTAAGCTGATTTTCAGAGTAAGAGCATTTAAAAGCCTACACCATACATCCATTTGAATTTTAAGTTAACAACATTTCCCAAACAAATTTTGGCCACTAATGATTTAACCAGCAAATAAAAGTCAGGAATGTTGAGAATAGAGAGCTGCCTTTTTTTTTTTTTCTCTCTTTTTTTTTTCCAAGAGGAAAAAAAATTTAAAAAAGCAAAAGTAAAATGCTATTGAAGGAGAATCAATTATGAATTGCAAGACAGAACACAGTCCAAAAGTTGCATCAGAGTATCCTCAGTCCTGCCAAATGCATCTTTACTGAAATTGTTCAGCAGAAGGGAGGTGATGTATCATGCAATTATTTGAAGCGTACCAAAAATTGCTATGATAGTTCTTGGGTTTGCTACTGTAACAGTGAAATATCACATGCATATTGCCATCTCATGGATCCTACAAATACTTGTTTAAGATTTCAAGAACACTCTTCCTAACAGAAAAATATGCAGAATCCACATCAAATAAAACTGTGGTAAGATTTATAAAGTGAAAGCAGAAACTTTATATTTGAAAGAGATAAAAAAAGAAATAAAAATCTGCCTCAGATTCTCTTGTAGTTACTATTTTTACGACTTGGCTCAGACTTGCCTTAATCTCTTTATTTAGGGAGAAACTGCAAGGTTGCCAGCTCTAGCAAATGTTAAGTAGTTTGGTAAATTCTCCATCAGTACAGGTCGTGTATTCGAGGGAACAAGGATGTGGTGCGTAAGTTCTGCTCCCTCTCCTCCAAAGGGGATTTCGTAATAAGACAGTGGTGGGAGAGGGAGCGATAAACAAGGTGGCTAAAACTCCTCTTTCAGTTCCGCTGTCCATACATCTGTCCAAGCTTTGCTGTGTCGTGATTGGGGTGTTGGGAGATGCAGCTTGCCTAGCCTGCTGTCACCCTACATCCGTTCTATCTGATCAGCCAAGAAAGCACATGTATCGCCGATACTACTGTATCCTAACTCTTCCATTCAAGTTCAGTAATAGCAGAGAAGCAAGTCCAAACAAGTCAGCAAAAATTCATAGGAAACCCAGAAGATGTAGATGAAAGTATGGGGTGTGTGTACATATATATTTATACGAACAGTTTCGATAGCCTATACAGAGTACTTAACCACATCGCCTAAACTCAATTACCTCCAAACCCAGAGCTCTGCTTTTAAAAAACTTGGCAGCCAACAAACACAAAGGTACGTACAAATGTACGCTGCTTCCGACGCTATCCTCCAACAACTGAATACCCCTACCCAAACACCTCAGACCCCAATTAACCAAGTTGCGGCGCCTCTCCGCACTTCGCCAAGCTGTCCTCGACCCCGGAGGTGACCCTGGGACACCATCACCACCACCGCCGAGGGCCCCCCCCGTCTTCCCGCCGGCTCGCCGTTCCGGGCTTTCCCATCGCAGCCTCGCCACGACCAGTCAGCTTGGGAAGAACGCGCAAGCATGTCCCGGACCGCGGCACAGCGAGCCCGGCCGGCGGGAGCCGAGGGCACCGCATCTCCGCGGCGGGAGAGGCGCCAGCGGCTGCCAGCAGCGCCCGCCACGCACCCGCAGCGGCGGCTTTCAGTTAGCGGAGACGCGGCTGGGAAAAGGAGGGAAAGGACGGGAGGGAAGGAATCAAGAGAAGCCATTACCAGAGTTTTGTTTCCGTTCTTGCTAAGGGGGCCTCGGAAAACTCCCTTGATGTTGCGAAAGTGCCCGTTGCTGAGATGCGCGGAGCTGATGACAATGTAGTAGCACTCCATGAGGTCGGGAATGGGGCCGGGGCCGCCTCCCGGCAGCCCGCGGGGTGCTCAGGCCGGCCTCCCTCGGCTCTGCTTGGCGGGGCGGGGAGGGCCGGGGCCGGCGGCATGTGCCGGTGTGTGTGAGAGGAGGTGTGTGCGGCCCCTCCGGCGGGGAGCGGGCTGCCGGGGGAGGAGCAGGCCGGGCGCGCCGAAGCCGTCTGAGCTGCCGCCTCTGCTGGGCACAGTGCTGTTATAGCGAGCTGCCTTGCCGGTCGGCTGCACCGAGCCAATGGCAGGGAGCCACTGGGCTGATACCGAGAGCTGTCAGAGGAGGACATCTGTCACACGCCACCTTAACCGCCATCCCACAGCCTTCGCTGCCCCCTCCGCAGCCGGGCCGCCGGCAGGGAAAGGCGGAGGGACGACCACGAGGGTGGGGGGCAGACCGGTCACCCCGACAGGCGCTGCAGCCCCTCATGGGGGGTGTGTCCGGGGTCTCTCTTCCCACGGAGGGCGCAGGAGTGCGGGTTCTCAGGGGTTTGGGGTTGCTGCGAGAGAGCCTGGGGCTACACCGCCCCCAGCCCGAAGCTCCAGCCCCTCCTCCTCCCCGAGTAGCTTCCGCGCTCCGCCACCGCACCCTATTTTATTTCATATATATATTTTTTTTAACGCCTAACCCAGCGGGCGTCTTAACCTTCCGACGGTGGAGTAGCCTCCCCCCTCCCCCCCCCCCCCCCCGCCCGCTCCCGGGCCCGGCTCGGCCGCAGGACACGGATTGCTGCCGCCGTCCCTGCCCGCCGCGTTCGACTCTTTTGGCCTGTAACCGGGGGGAAACGGGTCATTCCTCACCCCGCCGAGGGCGAGCTCCATACCGCCCTTCGTTGCGCTGCCGCCGGTACAGCATCTCTGCATCCGGCCGTCGCCCAACCCCGCTGCTGTACAGCATCTCTGCATCCCGCCATCCATCCCGCCCGGCTGTCTTGAAAACCGGGAGTGTGCTGGCAGAATTTCTGGGTCACAGCGGTTTTGGGGTGAGGAGGGGAGGGGAGTCGCTAAGAAAACCTGCGGCTCCATCCCTCCAGGTGCCTGCCGCCGCTTACCCACCGACCGAGCAAGGAGCCGAGCACCGAGCGGGCATCTACCGGCTCCCGCTGTTACTCACGGCTTCCCCGGCCTCGCAGGGCTTCGGCGGCAGTGGGGAAAACGGGAACCACCGCTGTTTGCTGCCGGCTCCGGCGCTGCGCTGCCGTCCTCGCCCTCAGCCTTAATGTGAAAAGTACTCTCTCCGTTTTATGAAGCCCAGAGCAAAGTGGGGGATGAAAACCCTTAGATACATCAACATAAGGCAACTGTAATATACACCATGCCCCTTCGCCATCGTAAGTGTTCCTTTCTCTTAGCAGCATGCAAACCAGAACTTGCTGCCAGAACCAGAATTTGTCAAAGACATGTTTAATAGAGATGCTCAAGTCCCTTCCCCAATACACACCAGGAAATCTACGATTTTCAGCTTTATCACATAAGACTTGAAACACGCTTTGCTGGCTCATCTTCCAGCCTGCTTTACCTTTATTCTCGATTGCTAAAAATCAAGATTTATGGGGAGAAATTCCAGTGCCAAAAGAGCCCAAAATCATGATGTAACAGCTGAAAATGTCTCTTGGTCAGCATGTACTAATGCCACCACCCAAACACCTTGTCCTCCACAATAAAGAAACCACTTCCAAAAAAAGGGGGGGGGGGGCGGGGGGGGGAGGAGGGAGGAGGGAAGGAAAACACTTCCCTAGAAGAAATTCCTGTCTTTGCAGTTTTATCCTTGAGGAAGGAAGCCCCAGTTCATGAGAAGTGCCTTCCTCTTCCTCTGATATGCATCTTCTATTGCTACTTCCCTTGGTAGACAGTGAATAGCAAATTTTGACAGCTGTCACTCATCCTTCAGCATTTTCAGCACTTCTGAAAGAATCATGGAAATGGAAGAAGTGAAAAGTTTTGACAGCTGAGGCACAGGTGAGAGGTGGGAATTTGCTGCATCTTGTTACAGAAAGAAAAAAAAATAGGGTGAAAAGGTGCAAACACATAGTAACACTATTTTTCAGCATTTACAGATGGACATCTGCATCTGAAAATAACCAGCAAGTTTATTACAGTGTACAAATGAAGTCAATATTATAAATATTGCACAGATTTAACACCACAGCATCCTTAAGGCCCAGTTCCCATTTCAGACTGGATCACAGATGTGATTCTCTTTCAAAAACATCAGAAATTCAGGTAGGGCAGAGTAATGAAAAGACATAATGCAAGAAATAAAACTGTGCAGCTCCTTTCTGGGAATAAATGTATTCCAACTCAGACTAGAACATCTTTTTCCACCTTATAAATACATTACTGGTACGTGAGGACCCTTCTGCCTGGAAGTGAAAATCTTCACAGGCCATCTGCTCCACACATCCACCATTTCAAAGAATTGGACCATTTTCCTCTGAAATCCATGCACTGACCACTTAATTACACATTGCTGGCATGTTTCATTACACCTGCTGCAGCAATAGGTAGGTCCTTTTATGCTGTATGGCTGCTCTCTGGCCTGGCATGCTCCTGTGGGAGTCCAAGGACTTGGGAAATGCCTTGTTGTAGCAACAGAGAAATAATTCACTTCTGTAGCTCAAGTTTGAAACAAATGAGTGTGCCCAAAATGGTTTTAGGAGTTAGTATAGCTTCTGCTAATTAAAGTTGTTGTCCTCTATTAACAGAGAGAAAAAAAAAACATGACTAAAGACCACTTGATTCTGACAAAGCACTCTATAAAGGAATGACAAGTTGTACTAAATATCACCTAATAAGAAAAATATACATTTTTCTTCTCTTACTTATTCTGATTGGCATCTTTTATTACTTTTTGGCTGCTTCTCTGCTTCTTTGTCATCTCCAGTTTTTCTTATATGTCTTTCTTTAATCCTTCACTGTACTTTTCTTGCCTCATTCTGTTTATTGTGATCACACAGGCTCAAGATGCTGCTTCCTTCTCAAATCTTGCTTTGTTTTGGTTTAAATCTTACTAAACTGCTAATTCCATCAGTCCTTCACCCCATGGCTCTTACATACCACCAGTCTTACCCATTTCTGTCTCTGTCATGTTTCCCTGTGCAAGTATCTGGGGTTTGAGCTGTGCATGCTGCGATTTATTCACATCTCTGCCATAAAATAATAAGCAGTGCTACTGATTTACTCATTCTCTTATTCTCCCTGGTACTTACTATTTAGAAAAATCTTCAAGGAGCTGTTCCTGTATAAAACTGCAGATACCAACTCAAGAAACAGTCTATGAATCTGAAAGACTTTCTGGAAAACTTGGGAACTAGAAACCAGTGAACAAATTACACTAATTCTCATACATTATACTGCTTTTCTGCCTGTGACAATACTCAGAATTCTGCGTTGTAATACTTAATAATATTTATAATTCAAGAAATTGTCCTGGTATAATCCAGAAAAAATATTCAAAAATATAAAAAGTGACCTTTTGGTTAGCAGTCATTAAAGCATGGCACAGAGTATGTGTTACCAAGTACATGTACCCCGAGAAATCATTTGCTCATGACTGAAACGCACTCATCAGTGACAGAAATATCTGTGCTGTAAATCACAAGAAACTCAATGCCACTCCCACAACATTTCTTACTGAATTCAATTCAGTTTATCCTTAGAATATCTCCCTGTAAATAATCTGCTGTGAGACACATCTTTTTACCATTTTCAGTCTCCTTGTATTGCTCTCTCCCGCCTGCCCCCCCCCCCCCCCCCCTTTTCTTTTCACTTAGCCTTAGGTGTTTTTCCCTGTTTCAGATGTTTGTCATCCTTGCATTACGTGGAAGGAAAAAGAGAGTATCCTGTAACATTTTAAGCTCATTATGGTGTTATGGTGTAATACACATTATAACACTATATTACAACTGCATTCATTCATCAGCTATGGGGGTGGTGCAACTAGAGGAAAGGAAACTGGGACACTCTGGTAGCCTAGTTCCGCAGCACATCCTTCACCATACATGAAGAGTATCCAAGTGGGTTCCCTATTTCAGCATATGAGCCAAGTGGAGCACTGGTACCACAAAAGCCAGGGAGAGGCAATAGTGACCTAAAGCCCCATGGCAGGCAGTCAAATTGTAGGCTGTACCCTGAAGTCCTCCAAAGTCACAGGAAGAGAACTGCAAAGACAAACTAGTATTTCTGCTTGATATCAAAAGTAGCATCAAAGATTTATAAAACACTGTATTTTTTTTCCTTTGCTTTGCTCTTTCAGCCTTCCAAAGCACACAGTTTTATACCCTGGTCTTGCACAACAGTTCCAGGAAGAAGCCATCTGGCAAGAATTGCCTCCTCCCTCTTTTCAGATATCCACATAGCATCTATATCTAGCTCTGTACAAATTCTTGTAGGTGCAAGGTGCTAATGCCTTTCCATCCCTTCACTTCCAAATTTATAATACTACCACTGTCTACTTTAGAGTACTATTGGGAAAAAACCCTTTCTGTTGTTGTTGAATCAAATACTCTGTTCTTTCTATCTTCCTTTAGTAATGTCTCTGCTGCAGAATTTCCCCAGCAGCTCATGTGTGCTCCTTTTTTTTTTACCTTCCCTAACAAACAAAAAAAAAAAAGAAAATGAAATTTGCAAATAACACTCTGAATATCAGCTGACATCAACAAGTAACTGATGTACAGCAAGAGCATTAAATCAGAGACTTTTACAATGGCCTGAAAGCACCTGCTGATGCAGCCAAGGTGAAAAAACCCTCTGCAAAAGCAACTATTGCCTATTTCAAACACTGAAAACACAATTCACTCTATGTTAAACATTCTCTTATAAGCAAATCCTCCATCACACATGCTTGAAGAATGATTCTAAATGAAAAGTAAATGGAGCCAGCAACTGGCAAATGAATCCTGAGAACAATCTGTGATGGGATTAGAGTTTCCCAACATCCACTCAAACCAAACATCCCAGTCTTTTGACTGCATTGGTTTTCCAAACAGAACAAATGAAATCAAACTATGAAAAATCATATGACAAAAAATTGAGTCATATGATCTCAGTAAGGCAATACCTCAATTTTTCACAGTAAGGCAATACCTCAATTTTTCACAAGTTACTACTTATAGAAAATCCTCTTCAGCTTCACTGCTATAATAATCTAGCACAACAGTGCAAAGAACAATCTTTCCAGGGACAAAGTGTAAAAACTCAGTGTAAAAAAAAAAAAAATCAAACCAAAAAAATAAACCACAACCACATAGCCCTCCATAAATCAAGAAGCAAATGCAGTGAGACCACATATGGGTGCAATTCCACAGAGTCACCGACCAAAACTCCCAAAATCTGGCAGACAGGTTACACAGCTAGCACAGTATTGAAGCCAATGACACATTCACTCCATAAGCAATATGCAAAGAGGTTTCCAGCAGCCCTTCATTGTCTTGTATAATATATATTCTGGAAAGGGAGTTGAAGCATAAGCAGCACCCAGTTTTAGTTTTGACCAAGTAATATTTTTTCTTAATTTAAACCAGTTAATATTTGTTTTGTTAAAGAATACAACA